GATCTTACAAAGCTTCAAACGACACGTCGACTATTAAATCAGTCGTCGAAGATTTTGATAGTCGACGTAATCGTGACTAGTCGACAAATCGTGGCAGCCCTAGTTTAAATTAGAGACTGCAATTGTGACAGAACTACAAATATTTTATTTTGATTATATAAGTAATGTAAGTACAAAACAAACTTGTGGTAGGCCTAAACTTATTTTCAGAATAACTAAATCTGAGACTTTGTTTCATTGTAAGATTATAACAGTGATGGCAATATAATTGTTTGTTGTCCAGCAGAACAGTGTCCAGTATGTTGGCTGTTATACTTTGTTGTGTTTGAAAATAAAAGTTGGTCTGATTTTACATCCTTACAAAAAGTGTTGTTAATTATTTTTAATCATATTCAGGTTACCACAAATTGTTTTTCATTTAGTTGAACATGAAATGTTTGTCAGTAGGTAAACAATTAGCACTGTACAGTCAGAAATATCAAGTTATTCTTAATACTGCAGACTTGCAATATTAGTCATCTTAAGTAAGCTTTACTTAGTTTTTTTGAGGCAATGAGTTTCCTTAATTTTTTTGAGTTCTGGGAACTAACAAGGCTGTACAGTGTACTCAAAATGAGTAAGTTGCCCTAACTTGGTCATCTTACGTAAACTTGATCCAATTTTTTTTGAGTTCTGGGAACAAATGAGCTTGTACGGAGTACTCAAAATAAACAAGTTGTCCTAATTTAGTCATTTTTAGCTAAGCTTTACTCAGTTTTTTTGAGGCAACGAGTTTCCTCAATTTTTTTGAGTTCTGGGAACGAATTAGATTTTACAGTGAAGCGGCCATCGGGAGATGGGCATACTGTGTGACACAGGGATAGATGCAGTCATCAACAATGTTCAGGCAGGCTGTGATGTCAAGAAAATATCCCCCACATCATTACACCAACATTCTTATGTTTACTCCAAATTCTGATCCTACCATCCCAATGTCTCACCACAAATTGAGATTCATCTGACCGGGCCACATTTTTCCAGTCTTTTGTTGAGCCCGTGAGAACTGTCTTCATAGTTCCTGTCCTGCACTAACCGCACCTAGTTCAGTTGTTTGCATGTGCATCTAGAGATGCTCTTCTCCAAATGCACAACCTTGGTTATAATGAGAAACTACTTGACTTAATATTGTTTTCCTATCAGCTTGAAGCAATCAGGCATTTCTCCACTGACTTCTGACATAAAAAGGGATTTTCACCCAGAGAACTCCCACCGCTGGATATTGTTTTTGGATCATTCTCTGTAAACCTTAGAGATGGTTGTGGTTATGTGGGGAAAATCCCAGTAGATCAGCAGGTTTTTTTCTTTTTTTGGTTTTTTTTGGAAATACTCAGAAAAGCCCATGTGGCACCAAATGCCATCTTCGAAGTCACTTAAATCACCTTTATTCCCCATTCTGATTCACACCTTGATCGTGTGAGTGTATATAAACAAGTCCCTTTTTAACATAAACCTGGCTTATCCCAGACTCTTAACCACAAAGAAAAGGAAATGCATCTCCAGTAAAAACTGTTGGAAGGTGAGCCTAGGAAGCCTGGAACTCAAAAAGTGATGTGACAAAAAACAGTAAAGAAAAAACAGGTTGTTATTTAAAGGATTAAACTATAACTTGCTTTTATCCTCACTGTATTTACATTTGGAGCTCATGCTCATGTTTCAGCTGTTTTAGTAACCCGTCTCAAATTGTCCCACTTTTACTTTTTGGGGTTTAGTTAACCTGCACAGAAGTAACGTGAGCACTACTGATTAATGAGGAACCTGTTGTTATTCCTCCTTAAAAAAGGAACTCCTTTACAGTCAGTTGAACTATCATTTTTACTGAGTAGAATTGCCATTAATAGTGCGTCAACTGAAAATGCAAATGATACAACTACTCGCTTTGTGATGCCTGAACAGTTAGACATTTGCATGTTCAGCTGTTGTAATCTACAAGAACTATATTCAAACTACAATACATCAGTTTTTTTACATGGTACCTGGCATCTAATTCTTTTTAATTGATGTAGGAGGTTTATACAATTTATCCCACTAATAAATTCAGAATTCTCACATCTCTTCTCAGACTTGTCAGGTTTGTGGCTGGGGGCCTGAATAAGTGCAGTGCTGAGGTCATTTGGATGGGTACCTCATATATTTTGGCTAAAAGTTGTTCTCTTATTAATGGATTCCCAAGCCTCTTACCCCTAATATTAATCTTACAACCAAGTTCCAAACACTAAACATAACACAAAATTATTTTCTTAACCTTGAAACCAGTGAGGGCACGCTTTGTTTTGGCCCAAAGATATAATCACTCTATTGATCTAAAACTCAGACTGGTTCTCATTTTTATTTTTCCCTTGGTTTTCTTGTGACAGATGACTTTACTCATGTTGTCTAGGAAAGTGGTTTATAAGAAAGCTGAAACCCACATTCTAACCGTCCCACAGTCCCATTTTGAGCAGGAACGATCCCTCATCCTTTCAGCTGCACTCCTTTCAACCACGAGAGCTACGGTTGTGGTCAGGTTTGCATACACTCATCATGGGCGTCATCATTTTAATGATTTCTTTGAATTGTTTTTTGTTTTTCCCAGGGTGGAGCAATTGTACAGCATACATCTTTAATGACTTTAAAGAACAAGAATTGGATGCACGAGTTTGAACTTATTTTGGATTTTCTCTAATCCACACAGGGTCAAAAGTATACACAGAAGCTCAAATACACTCCCGCTAATTTGTGGACAAATGTCCCTTAGCAACTTGAACCTTGGCTAGGTGCTTTTGGCAGCAATTAATAAGCTTCTGGCATAATTCCAGCCAGATATTTGACCACTCTTGGGTAAATTTGGTGATTTCCTGACACAGACTGGGCTTATAAGTGTAGACTTCAGAAGGCCATTTCAGAAGTGTAATGTTAGCCCATAAAATCCATTTAAAAAAACAGTTTGGGATCATTCTCCTGTTGGAAAACCTGTGTCCAAGTTTCAACCTTCTACCTGTTGATTTAAGGTGAAGACCTAACCATGATGCTACCACCACCAAGCTTGACTGGTACACTACTCTTAAGTTTAAAAGGCTCACCTTTACACCTCCAAACACACCTTTTGTCATTGTGGCCACATTTCTTAATCTTTGTCTCATCTGACTATAAAACATTTCTCCAGAAGGTATTTGGCTTGTCCATGTGGGCAGCTGCGTATTTCAGTTGAGCTTGAAGGTGTCAATTTTGAGGCAGGGGCTTTTTACTTGATCAGCATCCTCTCAAGACAGTAGTACTGGTGTTCCAGTAATTTCCAGTTTATGGAAGACCTGGATCCAATCTAATGAGTGCTGTAAAACAATTCCTTTAATGCTGGCAAAGACAAACTACTAGTTGTAATCAGTCATGATCACTTTGGAGTCTTAGCATTAACAAGTTAAAGGACAGTGCAGAACCTTCAGCACCAGTTTAGGATTATGTATGTATAGATTTGAGCCTGTCAGTACAGTTTTGACTCTGTGTAGATTAGAGAAAATCAGGTATGCTGTACAATCATTCAATCCCTGGAAAAAGAACAATGCAAAGGAATCATTAAGTTATCATGGCTATATGCAGACTTCTGACCGCAACTGCTCGTCTTTCAGTTAAAGGCTTGTAAATGACATTACTGCTAACCCCACTGAAGAACACGATCAAGCTTTCTATTAAAAAAAATGTCCGGTTTAAGAATAAAGACAAGACAGCACGAGTGGTGTTGTGATGTGCCTTTTAATTCCACAGATATATTTTGGCTTGATCAGATTTAACAGCACTGGTAATCAGACAACAGATGTGAACATGCATGGCTGGATGGTGGGTGCTGGAAGCTGAGCGTTAGCCAGGAGGCCACCCCATACTGCGCCCACCGAGAACGTGGATGTGGATGTGGTACACCGACTGGCCTCCGTCCGGCCCATCGTTGATGATAATCCTGTAGCCTTTGGAAAGGCCGGCATCTTGAGCACACTTCTTTGCAACAATCAGCAAGTGGCCCAACAACTAAGAGACAAACAGCAAGAATCAGTTGAAAATACACCCTGCATTAAAGTATTAAAAAGACAAATAGTTCCCCCTAGTGGTCACTGATAGAAATATGCCAGGGAAATGATTGTGTGACATTGTTTATAGTTTATTTCACAAGCAAAAGTCATTACAATGATACTTACCGCAGCATCGTCATCCTCGGCTTGAGAGAGCTGAACAATTGGCTTTTTTGGGACGACTAGGATGTGAGTGGGAGCCTGAGGTGAGACATCAGGGAAGGCTACACACTGAGAGCCAAAGCAAGAAATTAGAAAACAGAATTAGACTGTGCACAATCAAAATTGGAAATAACTTAAAGTTAGCTGAAAACAAAAAATAAAAATATAATTAAAAAATGATAATAACTCAGGTCTTAATGGTACTTAGATAGTTTTACGTGTTTATGCACACCCCAGTATTTGGAGTTAAACACATTAAGGCTGCTTGCTTATCTCAAAAATCATAGTCATGAATATTTGGTCAATACTGAAAATTTTAAACACACATTTTGGAAAAACAGATTTATTAAACTTAAAAAAAAAAAAACAGGAATAAAATTGTCTTTTTTAGGCTAATTTCCATCAACTCTAATTGTAATTTCAGCTCTAAATGAGATGATCATGAGTCACACTCATTTTCTTCCCCACAGCAGATAACCTGCCTCCACCCTATTCCAAGCATCCTCCTCTGTCACACCAACCCTCTGCATGTTCTTCTTTATTAAATCTCATTTCTGTACCTCCTCATCACTCCCAATGAAGAATCTCATCTGCACCTCTAGCTCTACTTCCTGCCTTTTTGTCAGTGCCACTGTCTACGAACACTACATCACAGCAGGCCTCACTGTCATCTTGTAAACCTTCCCTTTCAATCTTGCTGCTATCTTTCTGTCACAAATATCTGAAACACATCAAAGAAAGCAGAATGGGGCACAACAACAAATGTCGACTTCGACAAAACTGCAACTAAAATTCAACTAGTGGCACAGTCCAAGCCTTAATGTGACACAATGTTTACATGTTTTTGTTGCATTTAAGGCGTACAAAAATGTGGAATCTGTAAACATGACAGATATAAATTATCTGGAGTCATCAACTATAGCTCATTCCACTGGGAATACAAAGCAGTTCCAAAACTTAGAAATAAAAATAAATATTGCTTTTTTTTAACGCTTTGATTCCCCATTTCACTAATGTCTGCTGCAAATCACTTGATGTTGCTTTATTGTAGGAACCTCACCTTTTAATTTTCCTTGTCTTGCTCTAGCCTACAGCGGCTACATGTTTAACGAGTCCGCAAACAGCACTGGAGTGAACCTTGTCACTTCTTGGTGCAAAGCCAACTATCTGTAACTTCAGACGCTGTGTTGCAGCAAATATGGCTATTTTATAAACTTGCAGATTCTTCTGATGTATTACATGATTTCTGCAAGCTCTGCTGCAGCATTTTTAAATGCAAGTAGGCACAAAAACAGCGTTTCTGCAACGCTGAGTTAGCATTAGCTGAACGCCTCCTGCAGGCAGTTGCGGAGCCACGATGAGAAACATTCAGACTTTAAACGTCCTCGTGAATCAAAGTGATGAACGCATACCTGATCGTCTTCATAGATTAGGTTGGCAGGAATCTCTTTGCGTACAATTTTTCCAAATATCGTATCTCCGCCCGGCTTGGCGGTCTGCGCTTTCGCTGTTTCATCAGCCATGTTGACGCAGATGAGCCACGGCTCCCCCACGCAGCTTCCAGTGTCACTAAAATCAGAGCCGATCTATGATAAGAGCCACTCCAATTCCTGTTAATGCCACTGTACAGGCTGCAGTTCAGACAGAGGGGCAGCAGAGGGCGCACGTCCCTCAGTGGATAAGCGTGGACGAAGCTAAATGGTGAAAGTAATTATTTACACCTACTTCCTGATTTAAAAACTTACTAAGTTATTTATTTTTCGCAAACACGGTTTCGATTATACACCCGACTTTAAATAAAACGAGACTCGTGTCCTTTATTCTTTAGTACAATGAAAAACATCGTTGTGCAAGTGAAATGTTAAATGCTAGCTTTTACGAGTGCACAAATCCATAGACGTTAGAGGAGCAGTTACACCACACCAAAAAACAATACAAAACATGTGTATAATAAGAAACGTTAGAAGTTTTCTCTAGCTGCTAGCTTCACTCCCCTATTCAAGACGGCAGTAGCCATAAAAGTGACTCATGGTGCCGTCCAGAAAGTTCTTTTTACTCCAACAGAAACCTGTAAAATATCCAAGAAATGGATTATATGCACCACAACATTTACACTTTTGTGTCCGAAGGGAGCTCTCAGCACAAAACACAGCTCACCAGTGCCCCCCATAAAATGGGAAATCTAGAGAGAGGCCGCTCTCAATCGAATTAGTAGCTCAGTGAAACTACTCTGAGCCCTCATTGGCTACAATCACAGCTTCATTTCCAGCGTCGGCTCTGATTGGGCTCTGACATATGTGACGTCTCCCTACATCGGAAGTGAACACAAGAAGGCAACATGGGCACTCGTTTGAAGGTTAGTATGGGATATTATCGACTTTTTAAATACCTTTATTGCAACATTGCTTGCATGTTACTTGAAATTGCAGGTGACTGGTAGCATCATTCACAGCTGTTACAAAAGCTGCCTGTTTGTGAATACAGGTTCTGGGCGTTTTTAAAACGCTACACAGGACCAGGATGGCTGTGTTCAAAGATGATGACCGAGCACTGACAGGTGAGTCTGTGAACAGTATCTTCGACTGATAATTGATGCTTATCAAACAGGAGATGAGTGAACACATGCTCAGCATTCATCAAATGGGTCATTCCTAATGTTCGGTGTCATATGAGCCCCATGAGCGTGTCTTATATTATTAACCCCTCTCTACCATTAAATTGTTTTTATATATATATACCTAAAATTATTTATTTTTTCAGCTGGACAAACAGCCTAAAATGCCATGTCCCCAGACGTCTTTGTGCAAGTTCAATTACCAGTTTAAGTTATAAAAGTCAAAAGTACAATTTGCAGAGTGGCTGCAATCACAGCAAAGAAAGATGTCGCCTTAGGGCTTTTCACATAAATCCATGACTTTCCATTAAAACCAGCGTTCCACTCTGTTCAGATTGTATACATCCTCATCATTGAAAGAGTGTCCAATGGCCTATAGGTGTAAATAGACCTCACAGTCTGTTTCGATACTCATGACCCATAAGAGAAAACCCTTAGTGATCCCTTAGGCAGCATTTGTCCTTCTTCCCTCCTGGATAGCCTAGAGCTTTCTTTAGGTGTTTTCCCAACTTTGACATATGTCCAGCTGGGATAACCACATTTACAGGGCTTTTTTAAATGTGATGTTCTTCTGCTTGTGTGGCCGCTGTGTCTGAGGGAATGAGTGACAAAACAATTCTCCTGAAAACGTTATGTCCAGATCAACTTTTTGGGATTTCCTTACCTGAATGATTGAGGATGAATCAAGACTCTCTCATAAGCATTTTTTTCCATGTTTTATTATGGTTCACCAACATGTTAAAGCATAAAACGTCCACCCTGTTATTCTTATTTACAGTGTAAACGGATATTTAATGTAATTTTGCATTGTATGGTTGATAAACATGTGAAAATCATCTGGATTACATCAGTAATGAGGGCCGTGTGTAATAGCAGCATGTACACAGAGTAATAGAAAGGTTGCATTGGAGAGATTTATTTTTCATCTAATGAAACCTTTTTTCTGAGCCTTTTGCTGTGAAGTCAAATTAGAATTGCAGAATTGCTCAGGTGACTCGAAATATGTTTGTTTTCTTCTACAAAGCTGCACGATTAAAGATCAATGAGGAGTTTCGGAAAAACAAAAATGAAACGTCAGAAGAAAACATCCAGAAGGTACTGTGAAGCATTTTGATATTTGAAAATAAAATTGACTTTATTTCACTTCTACTTTTTTTTTAAATTTTTTTTTTTTATAGCTGATTAAAATGGGCTCAGACGTTGACATCGTCCTTCGACAGAGTGTGGTGCAAATGGAACACGTAGCAGAAGATAAGCTGTGTATGACATGATTTGTCTTTTCTTTTTTTTCTTTTTTCTTTTTATTAAGGAAGTAGCATGTGCATGCAAAGATTACTCATACATCAGGTATCATAATGTATATACTTGCTAATGATTTTTTTTTTCCTCTAATGATACGATTGTGTTTTTTGTTTTTTTTCTCCTCACTCTCAGTGCTTCGGCCCAGAAATGACCTTCTGCTAGAAAACGTCCCCTATTGTGACAAACCAAGGGAAAAGTCGTGACAAACCATTTGATAACTTCATGATCACCAGGAAAGAGACTATATATCATTTGTTGCCTTTTCATTTTCAGTTTGGCTTTATAGAAGGAACATTAAAAAAAATAATAAAATATAAGATCATCTCAACACTTTTGATTCAGCAAGGATCTACTTCGTTCTGTTTCAAGGAATCTGTGCTGGGAAAACTGGATCGTGTCATTTCGTGTACAGCATGTTATGAAATGGAACTGAAACATTATCTGCTGGCTTCTTCATATGATTGAATCAAACAAGGGGAAAATATTAATTTGCTGGTACTGTAAAAAATGTTAACTGTTATCTGATTAACTACAAGTATTTCCAGAGTGTCCCAGACTTAATTTGCTGTTACAACCACAGACAACAAGAATCAGCTCTGCTTTAAAGCCACAAAAAGAATTATCTTTGAAAACCTTTGTAAAAACCTCTGTGTGAAATATATCTGTAATAAAGGATACCTAAATTTAAAACATTGTTGGCATATAGCAGATTGTAGATATGACAATATGGAAATGTATTTTACAAGTTTATAGTCTGTCTGCGTAAAACTACATATCCCACAACGTCCATTAAAACATAAGATGGTTACGTCATCAAAACGCGCTGTTGCTTTGGCAACGTTTATAACGGTTAGCCTTCCTATTAGCTGTGTAGCCTTCGCTAACCATCGAGCTCGATGCCAAAAATAAGGTGAGAATTACTTTATTTTATCATTATAACTGTTTACTGTGATAACAGCAATAGTAATATCTGTCGACCGACTCGTCCCGTCTCGTCTCGTATGGGTCAGCTCGGACACATTATGGGAGCTGGCTGCGGCGGAGGTCCACAGCCGGGAGAGCGGAGGTGCAGAGGACAGGGACGGTGGAGAGGCTGTGAACGAGCGGACGGTGCTTCTGATGGGGAGCAAAGCTGGGGTGTGTGTGTCACTGATTTCACACGGAAGCGCTTGTATCTTGTTACTGTACTGCGTAAACTCACATCCGTTTATTTTTTAGGGCAAAACGTCCATTCTCCTCAGGTGCTTGGACAGGTTGGTATGATGATGCCCGGGCAGACTAGAGTGCTCTAAACCCCTCTTCATATTCACTATTCAGACCCATTGCAGGGGCAGTTTACACCATGCAAAGTGAAACACGAAAGCTAAAGCTGATCCTTTCACAGTCAATATTTGGCAAAGCTTTTATATGGCTGAAGTGAAGGGAGATTGCCAAGAAAGTATTTGGTGTATCCTATTGACATAAGGAGTACCTGGTGGTGGGATGAGGGAGTGCTGGCAATTATTCAAAGGGAAGGGTTAACAAATAAAAATTTGGGAAAGCATGTAGATCTGCCTCACATAAGGAAAGGCTTATGTGAGGCTCGGCACTAAGGAAAGAAAATTAGCTTGGCGGCAAGATTGAGCTGGAAGGAAGTGTACTAATGAATGATGAGAGGCTGTTGAGAAGATGAAGTAGTTTGAAGAGCTAATGAATGAAGAAAATGAGAGAGAGGAGGACAGTTCAGTAAGGAGGAAGTGATGGCAGCTGTGAGCTAAGAGTGGACTCTTGAAGAGTGAGAGGATGCCTGAGAAATGGAAAAGAAGTGTAGTGATTTTCAAGAACAAGCGTGATGTGCAGAGCTGTAGTGACAACAGAGGGATAGAGTTGTTAAGACATACCATGAAGATATGGGAAAGAGTTTAAGCTTTGTTTGGGAAACGGGGTGATGATTGGTGAGCAGCAGTGTGGCTCATGTCTAGAACGACCTCTACAGATGTACCGTTTGCTTTGAGAGTGTTAATGGAGAAATACAGAGAAGGCCAGAAGGAAGTGTAGTGTGTCTCTGCTGATCTAGAGAAAACACACGAATGAGGTACTGTAAAATATTTAGCCAAAAGCACAAGTTAGTTTCATGACATCATACTTTGTATAAACACACTTTTTTTTTGTCTACTAGAGATGAACTATCCAAACCAACTCTGGCCTTGGAGTACACTTTTGGCAGACGAGCACGAGGACACAACACGGTAAGTAAATCCTTTTAGTCTTGGACACTTTGCTTTAGTCTCTTAAAAATGAGAAGACAAATGTGGTTATACACCTTATGCTGTATATGTTTTATTTGCGTTAGTAGGAAGGAACTTCCTTCCAGTATTTCAGCACAGTGACCACATTAGAGAGTACGTTTAGTGTACTTATGTGGCAGGATGTGCTCATTATGCAAGTAAATATTTTAGTTCTTGGTATTAAATGCAGCTGAAATGTGGAACAAGCCATAGAGGGTTAGGGTTGCACTGGATGTTTATGTAACTTCAAGATAAAACTGTTATATACTTATTTCAGCCTAAAGACATAGCCCACCTATGGGAGCTGGGAGGAGGGACCTCTTTGTCAGACCTCGTCCAGATCCCCATCACTCCTGTCACCATCAGGTAGGTCTCTTACAAACATCCTGCTTTTGAATAGAGGTCAGTATTTGACACATTCACAGTGTGAATTATGTTATTTATCTTTTCTGTTCAGATTATTATTTGTATCTTTAAAATCTGAATCTCTTGAACAGCAATGTCATGTCAGTAGAGAAGAAGAATGTTTTCTTGGTCTGAACCTCAGAGGAAAACCATCTTTCCTTTCCTGTCTTGTTCAGCTGTCTCTCAGTCATCCTCGTCCTGGACCTGTCTAAACCCAACGCTCTGTGGGGAACAATGGAGAAGCTACTGCAGGCTGCACAGGCTCACCTAGAGAGAACCTCCTCCCAAGTACAGAAATCCAAATCCGGAGTCAAACACCAGACTCCCAGCCACTCAGCAGCACGTGTCTTACCTAAAGACTATCCTGTAAGACCTTGTCTCATTACGCATACAATTTGTATTACAGCAATTTTATAGCTGTGTTACAATTTCTAAATCCACGACTCAAAGGAACTCAACATGTGAGATGAAGCAAATTTCTTTAACCATTTATTATCTAATAATATCAATATCGTTAGACTAAATTAATGTAACCAAGAACAGGATCACAAGTAACTTCCATCTCAGCTAATACATAATAGACTGTAAAAAGCACTGAGGGAAAAGGCAGCTCTGCCTCCTCAGGGTTTATGGTGATACAGGTGAGCCTCTACAGTCGATCAGCACAAGGGATGCAGCACAAAGAGACTGCAGATTAATAAGGATGATAAAAAAACCAGTCATCAATGGGTAAATGTGCTGGTGCACTGAGGCATCCGTAACAAGTTGCATATTTAAAGTGTTTACATGAACTACTCATGCCTCTGGCTTTTTAAACACTCAAATGTCACAAAGTAAAATGTGCGTCGACCTGACAAATGCAACCAAGAAAATAGATATTTTATTGTCAGAGGGAACAAAAAGCAAATCTCAACTAAAAGTGTAAAAGTGTGTAAGGCCGGTGCTGTCTCCAGAGTTAACTGTGATTCTGTCAGCAGGACAGAGAGTTGATCAGTCCCTTTCCTGTTCCTCTGCTCATCATCGGCAGCAAGTACGACATCTTCCAGGTAAAACACAGTGTTTGTACTCTTTTTAAATCATTTATTAAAAAAAGACACGTACACAGAATTATTATTAGATCATGAATTTCAGTAATATTTGTATATAAGATTTCCAATTTTCCCATCTGCTTTTCAGGAATTTGACTCTGACAAGAAGAAAGTTGTCAGTAAAACACTGCGTTTTATTGCTCATTACTACGCGGCCTCTCTCGTTGTAAGAACGTTTTTAATGCTCCTGCAGCACATTTGTATTTAACAAATAATTTTGCACTTTTCATATATTTCTTATAGTTTGCTGTCTCTAACCACCGCTTTGTATTTGTGTTTGTCTCCTAATGCTTTGATTAGTTCACTAGCATCAAATCAGAGAGCCTTATATCAAAAACCAAGAGCTTCTTCTTGCACCTGGCTTTCAGTTTGGAGAGAGGGTGAGGAGGATAAAGCAACATTGAACACAAAGCAGTAATGGGCATGGGCTTTCATTTTAGATTATAGTGTCAATAGAGTTACTTTAATGTTACCACTAATGCTTGATAATACTAGATTTCACAGTCTTATTGCAGATTTATTTACATTTTTGTACTGTATAAAAATTGTATGATATAGAACAGGTTTTCATAAACAGTGTGAGCTTAGGATATTCACTTTAGTTATATAATCATGTGATGGGACAGCTCCAGATAGATATACACACTCAGAAGTCTATAATCTTTACCTTTGTTTATGATGGAGGTATTAGATATTGCATTTAAAGGAGCATGGCTGCTACTTACAACAACTGTCATTGTTTCTTGAAGGGAAAATGTGTGTTGCTCTCATTGAGAATTTCAAAAAAAATGTAAAATGCTGTCTATGTTAGGGGTCTGTTGGTTAATGTTTTAGCTGTAATACTGTTTTTCTTGTTCTTTTTTTCTGTAATCAGGAAAACTGTTTCCTCTGACCCCCTCAAGCCGCTCATCATTCCGGCAGGCTCTGATTCCTTCGGTCAAATAGGTGAGCACAGCGCCCCCCAGTAGCCAAAAGTAGAAATGTCTTCAAGTTTTGAATAAACTACAAAACTCTGTGATGAAACAAAACATCTCCTTTAAATCCACCCTCCTTTATTTAACATTTGGTGTGATATTTTATTTAAAATCTGTTAATATAGGTTCCCCACCTACTGTCGATGTGGATATAACGTCTCTCCATGCTAAAAATCCAAAAGACCTCTGGAAGAAAGTGTATGAGCGTGTCTTCCCCCCAGAGGTAGTTAAGCTTCTGGCAACATGTTTGTCTTCTGCAAAATCCAACTTATGTAGACAAACTACTTTTTCTTTTGCATGATTTAAAAGCATCTGTTCGTCTAACCAACTTTGTCATTGCAGAGTACAAATGAGCAGAGAGAGCTAAAGGATCCAGCCAAAGATCCCCAGTACAGTGAGCCTCAGATTGATGGCATGAGAGCCCAGAAAGACCAGGTAATACTTTATATACGTGTTTGCATTGCATTTATTTTGACAGACCTACTGCAGTCAAGTCTCTTGACTCATGAGTTGGCAGTACGGTGGTTAATCAGTGGTAATCAGAATTCCCATTCACTTATCTCAGATTCGTGACCCTGACTTTTGTCCTCCTTCTGAGGGGTAGCAAGTATTTAGGAAGATAATAAATCACTAAAGCATTTAACGCAAAATGAAGAAGATAAGTTTCTGTGACATAGCACAGTTTCATTTGATAAAGGGATTAGACATAATGGCAGCCCAGATAAAAGAGGCTGTTAAGATATGTGTGTTTATAAAATAATAACCCTGCTTAAAATGACAAGCTCGTGGGATACAAAGTTACAAAAGCTAATTAATATATAATATATTAATAGTCAAAATAAAAATATATTGTATATTTCTTTTTTTAAACACTATTAAGGGCAGTCTGAAATTGCAAGGTTGAAATGACAGAAGGACTTCAGTCTCTGGATCCAGAAGGATATCTGACTTCAGTT